AATTAATCTGAAGTTGATTTATCTTATAGACTGACTAACAGTTAATTAATAAGAAGTCATTTTCTTAAAAAAAAGCGTTTTCTATTGAAACAAAAGGGTCTTTTCATAAAATGAAGGATTTTTTAAAAATAATAAGCTAAATAAAAAGAAGCACATCATAAATATTTTCACAATTGATTTTGCCAGTTATATTAAAAAATGACTGGAAAAAATAAACCCTAAAATGTGGATTTCTCATGCATTAATAAACTTGGTTACAGCTATAAAACATAACAAAACAGAAATTTAATAGTTTGCTGAATGAGGAAAACAGATAAAACTAATAAAATATGATTTTAAGATGTAAAACTATTATTAATTTATTATTATTATTAGAATTTATTTGCATTTAGAATTTATCATTTTTCTCTAATTGTTTAAGTTTTGCTTCCTTCTGGTTCTGTCTGACTGAATGACCCAGTTCTGAAGCAGCCCCCCATCCCTCCCCCCTCCCCTACTGAGTCAGAACAGGAGTTCTGCTGCATCTTTTTTTTTCCTTCGTCCTGAACCTTTTTGCTGTTCAAAAAGGTTGTAAAGTTTTCCTTTTGAGCCTCAGTCAGAAAAAAAGACGAGGGTTTTATATTTCTGGTCCGAAAGGAGGAAAGAAATGGTGGACTGAGGTCAACTGAGGTACTTTTTTTTTGGCCACAGGACGTGTTTCCTCCTCGCGACGCGCATCAAATCAGATGTCTTTAAATAAATAAAATAAATTGTGGCATATACTTTTTATCATATCTTCGGCTCTACTTGGCCTAACAACACAATTTAAAAACTGGTTTAAAGTTCGAAGTCTCTGCTTTTCATGCGAGAGTCTCAGAGAGGGCGGATCTACAGGTAGAGTTTTTTGTTTTCTTCCTAAACTTTATTCAGCTCAGCCAGCATTGACAACGCTCTGTGGGTGATGTAAACGGCTCCGCAACACGGCGAGGGACGCATAAATCGTGCGACACAAGGAATCGATAATGAAACTCGTTGCCAACGCTTTTAATAATCGAATTTTATCGATTTGTTGTTGCAGCCTTAATTTTCAGAAACAGAAGCAATCAAAGATTAATTATATTTATTTGTCATGCTGGCATTTTAAACCTGTACTTTGTATTTGAATGTTCAAGTCTTTAAAACATATTTAGTGGTATAATAAAAACACCAAAGTTGATGTTTTTTAACAAAATGAACTGAAATAAAAAAGCTGATTTAGGTTTTTGGAGGAGAATGAGTTGTGTGGAATTAGTGCTGGGCGATATGATGATATCTATCGTGGGGACGATAGAAAAGTGTCTATTGTGCTACTTGCCTTCTATCGTTTATAAAATAATTTTATTAATTATTCATGCAAATATACAGTATAAAGTAGGCTACGTTGAAATGTACTGGTATTGTTACTTAGCATAAACTAAGTTTATATGTGATAAATAAGAATAAAAAATAACTTTCGCAAAGATGCTTCATACTGTGGTTTTGCGACATGACGCTGCTTTTCGTTATTTGACGGACACGCGGGTTTGCAACATGCTTTACTCGAGAGCTGAACAATTGAGACGCGGGAGCATGAGGTAGCATCTCAGCCGGCGTCAGAAGCAGAAACAGCTACGCAGGCAGCCCAAGAAGAAGGACTTTTACCAAAAAGAGGGGGAACGTCTGTTATTTGGTTACACTTTGGATTCAAGAAGCTGACACGGAGCAGAAAATGGTAATCTGCAAACTTTGTCACAAGGCCGTTCCCTCGCCCGACGCCAACACAACCAACCTCTTCTTTCACCTGAAGAAGAACCACGAAAAAGAACACATCAGAATCCAAAAAGTACGAGGTAAAGCAAGTTGTGAAACATCCGGGGGAAGTTTCAAAAGCCAGCCGAAGATAACGGAGTCTTTAGCGCGAGGCACGCCGTATGAAAAAACATCCCAGCGCCATAAACAAATAACGGTTGCCATCTTGCATTACATATGTAAAGGCATGACCCCCGGGTACGTAGTTGAGAAGGACAGCTTCCGAGACCTCGTCAAAGTCCTTGACCCGAGGTACATTATGCCCAGCCCACCCGCGTAATTTACACGGGGGATGGGGGGGTTATAACCCCCCCAATAATTTGATCCAGTCAATATAACCCCCCCCCAATAAAATTGCATCATTTAAGTATACATATAT